GAAAACTACTACTTTTCTCACCTGGTGTTAGTTAATTAATACATGTGAACATTCCAGGAGCCACAGGAACTCCAGTAAAAAGTGGATTTCCTTCTTTGATTTTCTGAATTAGAATTTGAGGGTAAGGGCAAGGTCCATTCATCCAGTCTTGGTTTCATTGGCAGTATACATGTTGAGAACAGAGAAGATACTAGTTTATTAAGTAGACATTTGAGTGCTTTGTGCTATGAGTTGTGTTAAATTCTGGAGCTCCAAGTAGCAAGTTAGACACATGCATAGATAATTAAAATAGAGGGCCAGACTGTGGAGCAGCAGAAAAACATGATGTTCTGCAAAGCTCACCCACATGGGAGGGTTACGATGAGTGTCCAAAGATCTCCTTGAGTATGCCAGGCACACATGTGCCCATGATCTGGGGTTGGCTGAGGCTTGGTGTAAATTCCAACCTCAGGACCCTGTTGGGGATGCTCTTGCTCTCGCTTAAGAAGAAATTTAAAAAGTAAATAACCTTTAAAACACAATACAGAAAATGCTTTGGTAGAGTTATGTTCAGGATGTTCTGAAAGCACAGAAAAGGAGTATCTATCCTGGATAGCGTAGGTCACCAGGGAGAAAAGGTGCCGGTGCTTCATGATTTTTTGCATAGCTTTATTGAGGTATAATTTACACAGTATGACCCACCTACTTTATATAATTTAGCGATTTTTAGTATATTTATAGGTTTGTGCAGTCATTGCCAATCCTAATGTAGAATGTTACCACTACTCCCAAAATACTCCCCATCCCATCACTGATAGCTTATTAAGGATAAAGGATGAAGTAGTCACACAACAATATTGAGAGGAAAGCTGGGCTCCAGAGAATGCAGCATGAACAAAGGTGGGGAGCATGAACTACCTTGGTGTCAGTGTGGGTGACAGGTCAGCAAACAGTTTTATTTCTAGAGTGTTCCTTCCCCACAAGTTGTTTTTTTGACTTCCATAGACTTTGGGAGCTCAATTTCCTCATCTGTAATGTATAGTTTCTATTATCTGGTTGAACTGTAGCTCCCTAAAATATCAATTCTTATGATTGTCAAAACTTTGGATACTTTGAATTAATAGAAAAATAAAATGCAGTTTTAAAAATGATAGTAGAAGCCAGCAGGTGGCGTGGCGATTAAGTGTGCTGCACTTCCACATGGCCGAGCATGGTTTGCGTCCAGGACCTGGTGACTTTCTCATTTCCCTCCTGCCTCTCTCTCACACATACACTCTGTCCCTCTCTGGTCAAAATAAACAAAATAAATTAAATAAATAAAGCTAAATAAAAGAATTATTTTAAAAATGGTAGTCAAAGTCAGGGCCCATCAAAAAAAAAAAAAGAAAAAATTAAGCTGCTTATAAATCTTTAATGGAAAAATTTCTTGTTTTTAATATTTTTCCTGATTGTTCAAACAATAATGGATGTTGAGTAGAAATTTTATAAAATATAGAAAAGTAAAAAGAAAAATAACTTTAGGTCACATAGTCTTATAATCCAGAATAATTCTTTTTTTTTAAAAAGAATTATTTTATTTAACTTTATTTATTATTATTATCATTATTATTTTCCAGTTT